ATGGAAGGTACAAGGTCATACCAGCGAGGGAATCAGAAGACCAAGAACTAAGGGGGGTGAAGGGGTGGTGGAAAGTAAGAAAAACAGTTTTTGGTGCGCTTTTGCTTAGTCTTAGCAATGCTTATTCTCAATAAATGAACTTTCTTTTGAATCAATATTGGTTGCAAGGAAAGTTACTGGATTTGGGATCAACAGGTGGCAGCTCGTTACAGCTTTATTATGATTCTGTGTTCTATGTGGAGAACATTAGTCAGTTCTACAAACACCCACCCTATGTTGTATGTTTATTTAAACTTTAAAAAGTAGTTATTGGTTGCAAGGAAAGTTACTGGATTTGGGATCAACAGGTGGCAGCTCGTTACAGCTTTATTATGATTCTGTGTTCTATGTGGAGAACATTAGTCAGTTCTACAAACACCCACCCTATGTTGTATGTTTATTTAAACTTTAAAAAGTAGTTTAACTGTCACTTGATTCTCCTTATTTCTATGTCATCTTTAAACAGAAGATTAGAGGCCCTCAACTCATAGTTTAACCAGGGCCAAAAGGAAAAAGAAGAAAAGATAAAAATGTTTTTGAATTAAGAGAATGCCCATAGACTCAAATGATATGTTCATGTGTTTGTTTGGACAAGAAGAAAGTATTTTGCCCTTGTCTTTTTCCTGCACAAATTTTCTTTAATTCCCAGTCTATTCTAAAATAATCATCTTCCATTCAATTATTCATTAGGTCACACATTGTTTAGCAGGATTGCTAGTAACTATCTTGTCATCATAAGTTATGAAGATGACATCATAAGGTAGGGAACACCAATATACATTTTTTAAGGGAAAAAAATGCTGAATATGTCCTGAGTTTGCAAAAATCCATGATATTTTGTTTACTGAATGAGCAATCTCAGGGAAAACAACACCAAATGCAAAAGAGGTTGAAGATGTGAAAAATAAATAAATAAACATAGATCATGTGATCGTAGAAGACCTATTGCTCAATGCATATACATTTTGGTCCTCTATAGGAAACACTACCTGCAGGAAACTTGTGGGCAAACTTTGACTCCTGAACAAGACTCCTGGGGGAGATGGGCAACATTCAAATTTAATAATAAATAAAATAAATAATAAAACAAGGGATTGTGATCCACAGTTAGAGAAATAAACATTCACCCTGAAGAATTAGTACAACTACTAAATATATTCACCCTAAAGTACTGTTTTACAGTTTGCTTAAATCTATAGAATGAAAAATTGGTTGAATGTCTAACCCACCATTTTGATTTGAAAACTTCCCTTCTGGGCATGGAACACAGTCATAGCAACAGAATTGTTTTCCTTCAACCCCTTTCTTCCAGGATCCAGGGGGACAATGGTCATTACACTGAGAAATTGGAAGAACCTGGTGATGGACATGAAAGGATTTGCAAAGGGAGATTTTTAAAAGAGTTTTTAATTCTTCTCCTTTCTGGGGGGAAAGAATTCTTGACTTCAAAATTGTAAGGAATTTTATCTAGTTGGATTTATACTATACCTTAAAAAGATGTAGAAATTGCAAGGATGTGCAGAAGGGCCTGCTTGAAGAAGGGCAGGGTGAGTAAATAAATGTGAAGCACGACAATATTATGGAAACAATGTGACTATCATGATTTCAAATGGAGTTGCGACCGAAATATGAAAATCTCACTTTAAATTGTAATGTCATTTTCCCACTTTGGTACATGCTTGATCATGGACAACCTTTGTACAGAATATGCCATTTTTTTCTTTCAAAACCAAAATTAAATTTCCAAAGAGACTATTTTCAAGATGGTTTAACAGATAAACAACTTTTCGTTGGATAATAATATATCAAGATATAGTTTCTTCAATGAGTCCATACCTGGTTAAAAGCTGGGTGCCAGACAATCAAACCTTCATCAATGAATAATTCTTTCCCTTTTGGAGCACTGGGATCCAACTGTCCAACTCTAACCCTCTGAAAGGATCTGTTTGGAAATGTAATCAAGCTGGTGATGTCAAATCCACCAGTTGCTTCCCGCTTCTCATTCAGGAAGACTCTCTCTCCAGCTGAATTGTTAAAAGAAATGCCTTGAAGAAATGGATGGAGCTACTTGAAAGAGAATGAAAGAGAGAGGAAGTTGACAGGAAAATAATGGAGGAAGGGACCAGTATGTATAAGGTTTGTTCATTCATGCTTCCCATTCCTATAACAAATAGCAAAGAAGGACACCTAGAAAATTGATCATCTATATTGGATGGAAATGTACCAGTCAATTCTATTTCAAATTTGATATGATTTCCAGGGAAGATAAGAAACAATGTTCAATTTGTCAGTGGACAAAAGCAAAATGAAAACAGGCTATTGAAATTATTTAACTACCTGAAATTATGATTTAGGATCACTATTTAAACAACTATTTCAATGTAGACCATACATAATCTTATCCTCTACTGTTCCTCCTTCATTTGTACAAAGCTATTTGAGAGCCTGAGACCTGAAAAACTTCCCTTAGCCAGATTTTAGAATCTGAGACTCAAGCATTCTTCGATAGATGGATAGATGGATGAATAGAGAGAGAGGTGATAGATATTTTCTCAAAAATATGGTTGTTCTAAAGTGTGGAGGCCACAGCTGAAAGGACCACAATTCAGTCCATTCCTCTTGAATTCCAATAGGGACAGAAAACTCAGCTTCTCAACCCTGAAATATTCATGAGCCAAGCAGAAGTATCTTGGGGCATTGGTTATTGATGGAGAAGACAATGGAAAGTAACGTAAGTGATCATGTAAAGTGCGCCTTCATTTTAACCAACTTTTACTTTAAAAGCTATGATGATTTCCTAAATAAAACATACTGACACGTAAACTATAATTTATATATTAGCTTCTTGATGTTCATACTAAACTTGATTCCATAAGCAGGAAAGAGTATGGATTTCTACAATAGGTGGTAATGGTAATCCTAAAACAAACTGCTCATTGAAAGAAAGGAAGTGTCCAATGTAGAGGGAATACCTGCCAAGCCTGCAGATCTGGAAAGTCAGTTTTTTTACCCATCATCCTTTTTTTCTTATTGAACCCAAACATGAGTAGAGCATGCAAAGCGTGAGCCACAGCATAAACAGCATTGTAGACACTGTAGCTTTGGCCAGTCATTTCCATTTCAAACAAAGGCCCAGGAAGATCCGCCAGCTTTCTCTCCCCAGTGCACTGCCTACTGGACATTTCTTGTAACTCTGGTTTTGGAAATGAACAATCAAATAATTGTTCCCAAACTTCCTTCAGAAACCCATCTCTGGAGCCTGAATAAGGGTTTATGCTCTGAAGAAATTCCTTGAACCCTAGAACGACTCTTGAATGAACAGTAAATGAAATAGCCCCATTGAACATCTGGAGATCCCACATAATTTGAAAGCCGGATAGTGTGAAATCAATTTGGCTAGTCATGATCCACACCTTTCTAAGTAATGCAGTTTGCTTGTTTTCAGGATCTGCTACAAATGTGACAGTTCTGAGCCCCATGATTGTCAACGATTCTCCATAGACAAGAAATGCATTTGCTTTGGCATTCATCAAATTAGTAGAAATACTTGAGACTGTGTCATAAAGTTCTGAAACATCTTCCACGTGGACTATTTGTGGAAGCCTTTGTGTGAATGATGAGCAGATTCCATTCCATGAAAGTAATGGCTGCATTTTCTGTAAGAAATATTCTCCGTTATTGTTATCAACAGCAAAAATCCCAATCCATGTCCACCTGAAATGACGAAGCAGTTGGATAATCCCAATGTACTGATGGTCCTCTTTTGGGGCCATGAAATAAAGTGAAGATAGCTTCCTCTTCCGAAATGCCTCTTCGTCTAACGAGCCATATGTCAGCTGAAAGAAAGTGGAATAGTATTCTGTTGAGTTGTTAGATCAAATCTGATCTTTTCTGATCTAATTTTCATGTAAATATATCCGAGAAAGGGGTTTTTTTTTCTGGAATTCTTTCCAAATATTACTATTGAATGGAATTTCTAGGAATTATTTCAAACATATAATGGTTAAACTGTTTTAATAGGAGCAGGGAATACTACATTCTAATCTTCCATCAGGTATGAAATGTCCATGGATACTCTGGGACATTCACTTCTATGGTTGGCATTGTAGTTTTAGAAAAGAGTGTGAAGTTCTACCTTATGCTCTGCAGAAGTTCTTAACACAAAACTATGCCTAACATCAGATACTCATTAATTATGAGAAAACAGTAAGTACAGAATTTTTTCTCCAACACCTTTGACTACTTACTTGTGGAATCTTGTAGAAACCTAGAATTTCAGCTATATATGATGATGTATCAGAACCTAATCCTCCAATGATGACCATGAGATTTTTGTGAATATCACATTTGTAATTAGGGACAAATTTCTTGGATTTGGAGAGCAGATCCAGAGTGGTGCGGTAGGTCATCCTTGGATTGTAGTAACTGTCATAGATGTGGAATCCAAGAGTGATGTTAGGTAAGATCTGGGAGTCCTCATTGATCTCCTTCA